CCATATTGATCCACAAAGAACTGGAAAAGAGAGCATTTTATAAGGTGTTGAATATAAAGTCTCTATTCTTCCTGACTGTGAATCATAGGTCTATATATAGATGTGTGTGTATGCATGCACATAATCATGGCATCTTCCCTGTTGACTCAAAATGATTTTATTTCAACTTTTTATTTCTAAGAAGTCACTGTTCTCTCCTATTCGTGTAGGCCTGAGTCACCCCCACCCCCACCCCTTGCTCCCAGTAAGATAACAGATTTACACAACTAAAGCACAGGGTATTTACAGAAACAAGCTGCTCCCCTATTGATGGAAATTAAAACTGCCATATTGTATTTCAGAGTAAAGCCCCTCATTTAACGACTGCTGATAGGGTAGCATGGAACACATATTTCTTTAATTGTGGGTGTTGAAAACTTAATTGTGATTCAGTATCCTTTTAAAATTTTTCCCTGGGGACAGACAGCTGAGAAGTGGGTGAAGGGAGACTCGGACAGGGCAAGATATGACAAAATACCAATTTATAAACTATCAAGGGCTCATGAGAGAGGGGAGAGCGGGGAGGGAGGGGAAAAATGAAGACCTAATGTGGGGGTTTAAGTGGAGAGAAAATGTTTTGAGAATGATGTACAAATGCGCTTTACACAATTGATGTGTGTATGGATTGTGATAAGAGTTGTATGAGCCCCTAATAAAATGTTTAAAAAAATATTTTGCTAATTGAAAGCTATGTGCTATAGCCAAGTATAATAAAATGCTATGATTGTTCATTGTAAAAAAAAAATTTTCTTTCTAGGATACACTGCAGTTCTATTCAGGTCACTGGTAATATCAGATAGATAGAAAAAAAGAAAGAAAGAAAACTCAGACAGGTTTAATTTACATATTTGGCTATTTTCTCTTTAGTCGCTCTAAAAATTTGACTTGGTAAGCTACCTGTACCTAAAATAAAATGTCATCTATTTTTATATCCCAGTTAATGTTACTCCATCCCATTTGATTCTAATTCACAGTGACGCTAAAGAACAGAGTAGAACTGCTCCATAGGACTTCTGAAGCCGTACATCTTTACAGGAGCAGGCAACTTTATCTTTCTCTTGCAAAGCAACTGGTGGATTTGAACCACTGACCTTGTGGTTAGCAGTCCAATGCTTACCTAAGTGCCACCAAGAGCACCCAGTGCTTCACCATCCAGCTACATGGCTAAGTAGTGGGGAAAGATGGCAATCCCACAGACTACTTGGGATATAATGATGAGTGGCAATATTGTAACAGGAAAATTAAGTTGAACACGAAAGAAGGGTTGAATTTAAATAATCTACAGGTGGGAAATTTTCATAGCTATGAGAGTCTTAAGATGTCCTGCTAGTCTCTGCGATCATTAATTCCACCACAAAGCCTAAATCATGAACCAAGACTAGGTATGAACCCATTTTATAGATGACAACACTAAGACCACAAGCTGGAACAATCTAGTCTCTATCCCACTTTCATCCTGGTGAAATCATGAGAAGCCCAGAACCACAAGGTTATATAGATGAACTAACTGTAGGATAAAGAGCAGACTTTAAATCTGAGATTCTTCCTATCTGTTAAACCATGAATGTCATGCTAATTTCCTCAGTATTCCTTCCTAGGAAGTAAAATTCCAAAGAAATGTCAGAGAACTGGAAATGAATATGTAATTATATGTTATTAATACAATCGTATAGAATGATTCATACTTGTAGTTCAGTCCATTTTTTATATTTATAAGTGATCGATTATTGTTTCTGATATTTTCCAGAGTTTTATGTACAAAAATGATGAGGTTGACATTTTTTCTCTCTCTCTTTGCCTTTATTATTATTTTTTTACCATTTATTTCCTTTTTTGGTGGTGGTGGGGACTTATGTGAGTTTTATAATTAAGTTCCAGTTGCTAATTCTATAGAGGTATAGCAATTATTACAAAGCAAAAAACTCGGTCCCAAAGCAAACACGGTTTGCTATGCTCAGAGCTGTTTGTTCTTTTGGTATTATCTGAATATAGCTGAAGAGACATCATGTCTACCAGCGTCTGGCCTGCAGCTGACTGCCAGACTATAAAGTTGTCTGAGGGTCGGGAAATCAGAGTAAATGGAACGTTCTCACTTTTTACTTTTATTTATAAATGTAATACCTGAAAAGAAGTGAGTTGCTTAGGGGATGTGTTTTGTTAAGTGTATATATAGAATAAATCTGGAGAAACACTATGAGAAGGTTTGTTTGTCTATGTGTAAGGATATTATTGCTTTAATAAGCAAACATAACTTTAGAGACCTTCATGATAATAATGATATTTGCTTTTCATAAATCAAGTTCTTCTTACTCAAGAACAACAGCAATAACAAAAATAGCCAAGCAACAGAATGGTGAAGAAAATAATCTGATTGCCTGTGCACGTGACTAAACACAAGTACACACTCCCTACCTTTGTCCATCTTTTGTTCTTTTTTCTTCCGTCTGCTCTCAGCTTTTCTTCTTTTCAAGTATTACATTTACTAGGCAAGCCCCTCAGCATTAGTGGTCTGAGTCACATGTTGGGGCTTTTACTTCTAGAGTGTTTACGTCAATTCCTCCTGGTATTTCTTAACTTTGATTGTAAATTGTCACTGGATGCCATTTGGTTCATAAAAGCCCGTGACTATATCTTCGTAGAAGAAATTATAGTTTATGAAATAAAAGCTATTCATTTAAAGAACCATTTTTACATTTTGCCTTGAATTCTCCATTAAGGCTACATGAACTCTTTTCCTCTTTTCTTTATTTAACCATTGTGATTGAGGCATATTGACTCATTGGAAGTATAAACATGTAACCATTTTATTTTACAACAACTACGGTCAGCTGAGCTGAATAGATTCTCAACAATATTTCAGTCTAATCTTGTAACTTTCAGTTTCTATTAGGTTACTGAGGCTCTAAAATAAAAATATTAATCCCTCCTCACTTCTCCAAGCACTGGCTAGAGTTGTGGCTGCCATGATTTGAAAAAGTTCATGAAAGTGGGGAGATGGGGGTGAGTCACTGAAACACTTTTGTGTTTTCTTGTTCCTCCCCCTATGACTGTCCCACAGCTGTTAAAAGGGCTATTCTACCCTGATCAATATTCCTTTGCTACTTACTCCTCTTTAAACAAAGTTGGGACACCTGGAGGCATAGTGGTTATGCTAACCACCAGCTGGGCAGTTGAAACCTCCAGTCGCTCTGAGGGAGAAAGATGAGGCTTTCTACTCCCATAGTTGCAGTCTCAGAAACCCACAGGGGCAGTTCTACCCTGTCCTATATGGTCACTATGATTTGGCATCAACTCCATGGCAGTGAGCCTGGTTTGGGGTTTTAAACAAAGTCATCACAGTCTATAGCAATTGGAAGCTCCCAGTCTCCTCCATGATCACCAGTCCCAACTATGGGTGACTCTAAAGGGCCTAAAATAGATCAGATATCCTGAATTCTCAGGAACTCGAAGGGAAGGCCTCACAGGAGTTTCCTGTCCCCTCTCCATTTGGCTCTTTTTCCACTCTAGGATTGAAGTCTTTATGCCCACGGTTGCTGGGTCTTTTTACAATGTTTTTGTCCTTGTTTTTATGCATAGGGAAGTGGGGGGTGGGTAGAATTAGGAAGACAGTAGCTGGCTTAATGTTTGCCTGAGGGCATGGTAGGGGAGGGGATGGGAAATGGGGAATCAACACCAATGGGGACCAGAGGAAGAAAAGGTTCCAATGTTGAGTGTGGTGATGATTGCACTACTGCACGATTGAACTGTATGATGTGCTAATTACAGCTCAATAAAACTATTTCAATAAATAAAGGTAAGACATGCATACAAATGTCAATAAAGATCCCATGTAGAAAAAAAAAAATCAAGATTTCTGGAAGCTCAACTGGAGAACAAAATATGTCTCTCTTTCAGAAAAACAAACCACCAACCAAAAATCTCTCACACATGAACAATTATTTTGAGCTTCCTTCCTTTGCCTGTGAAAAAGAGGGGAACTGCTAATTATCTCCTGCCTTTACATACACTGGATTTTCTTAAAAGTAAACTTTGTATTTTTTTTCTTCTTGTTTTTTTTGTTGGGGGAAGGCTGGAGTATGAACTGTGTTGAAATGACATTTTTCAGTCTGTCTTGTGGGGAGATAGCTACCACACAGCTGATGGTCTCAATTAGAATAAGAGCTGTGGGCTCTAGACCTACCTCCAGGAAAATTTGAATTGCTATAAAACCTTCATGCTCATATTTATAGGTTTAGTGTTAAGGTAGTGTTGGGCCTCCACTCAAGTACTCTCTCAATGCGAGAATACTTTGTTCTATTAAACTGGCATTCCATGATGCTCCCCTTCCCTACATGATCACTGAAGACAAAGCGGGTGCATAAGCAAATGTGGTGAAGAAAGCTGATGGTGACTGGCTATCAAAAGATTTAGTGTCTGGGGTCTTAGAGGTTTGAAAGTAAACAAGTGGCTATCTAGCTTAGAAGCAACAAAGCCCACATGGAAGAAACACACCAGCCTGTGTGTTCATGAGGCGTCAAAGGGATCAGGTATCAGGCATCAAGGAACAAAAAATCATATCATTGTGTGTTCACCTTCCCGATAGGATCACTGAAGACAAATGGGTACATAAGCAAATGTGGTGAAGAAAGTTAATGGTGCCTGGCTATCGAAAGATACAGTGTCTGGGGTCTTAAAGCCTTGAAGGTAAACAAGCAGCCATCTAGCTGAGAAACAACAAAGCCACATGGAAGAAGCACACCAACCTGTATGATCACAAGGTGTCCAAGGAATCAGGTATCAGGCATCAAAGAACAAAAAAAATCAAATCATTGTGAATGAGGGGGAGTGCAAATTGGGGACCCAAGGCCCATCTGTAGGCAACTGGACATCCCCTTACAGAAGGGTTTCGGGGAGGAGATGAGCCAGTCAGGGAGCAGTGTAACAATGATGAAACACACAACTTGCCTCTAGTTCTTGAGACTTGTTTGGAGGGTCTAGCAGGGGAGCACAGCTATTCGTATACCCTTGACTGAAGGACAGTTCTCCTATTGGCGAAGGTTGTCATCTTCAACCGAGCATGAAACTGCGGGAGGGATGCACATGGAGTGGTGAGGGAGGAAGGGGACACCCACCTAGCCAGCCAGATTAGCTGAATCAACCCTGGCAATCAATGGGGTGACAGATGTCGCAACCAGATCACCCTTATATCCTTGCCTCTAGTTCTTAAATGTTTCCTCCCACCGCCACCCCACCCCCCACCTATCATGATCCCAATTCTACCTTATAAATCTGGCTAGACCAGAGGATGTACACTGGTACAGATAGGAACTGGAAACACAGGGAATCCAGGACAGATGATCCCTTCAGGACCAGTGGTGATACCGGGAGTGTGTGGGGAGGGTGGGGTAGAAAGGGGGAACCGATTACAAGGATTTACATATAACCTCCTCCCTGGGGGACGGACAACAGAAAAGTGAGTGAAGGGAGACATCGGACAGTGTAAGATATGAAAAAAATAGAAGGAAAAAACCTTCATACTCACTTTAATTTCTGCCTTATTTTGTGTTAGGTCTACTTTTAATAAATGTCCTCATGTAAACTCAAATGCATCTGAGAGCTGGGCACAATCTGGTTCCTTCACAGTACTTTATCACACCCATATCTTCAATGATCTCTTCATGAGGGTGGGCAACCAGCAGTGTCATGTCATAGGAACAAATTATTCTTAGACTGGGGCTAGAATTAGGTGAGAGCCCGAAATCCATTCATATATCTAAGTTTTATATATGTCTCTGGTTCACTTTAGAGATATCATTTTCATTTTCTACTAGAGAACATTATCCGTCACCCCCTTGGGTACAAGGTAAGTCTAGGGATTGTGTTATTCATTTAGCCAGTGGTATAGAATTTGAATCAACTTTGAGGAAAGGAGATTATAAAAGTAAAGGCTGGCTACAAACCACAGCATGTAAATTGTTGACTTGCACAAGTTAAACTCTTAAGTGACTAGACACTATTTACACATGAGGTTGTCAATGGATGGTTTTCAGAAGTAGAACACCAGATCTACTTGATACACTTTTTTTTCTTTTCAGTACTTTTAATTTTTTTTCTCATGTGAGTCATTTTTACTTTTCCTTTGCATGTTTGGAATTCTTTGATTGGTTTCCAGATATGGAGAATTTTATATTCTGATATGCTGGATGGTTTTGCATTCCTTTAAATATTCTCAAACTTTGTGCTGGGATATAGCAGAGTTCCTCAGAAACAATTTGATTATTTTGGAGCTTGTTTTCAGGCATCATTAGGCAGGACAGAGCAGCCTATAGTCTCAGTAGCTAATCACAATTAAGGCTGATTTTGCCCCATGGGAGAAACAGTCATTTGTTTCAGCTGAGGTGGGATGTTGGCACTACTGGCATCTAGCCAGAGGAAGCCAGAGATGCTTCTGAACACCTTATAAAGCCCAGGACAGCCCCCAATGACAAATACCTATGTGGCTCAAGATGTCAATAGTGCCAAGGTTGAGAAGCTCTGGTCTTGGGCTCCACGACTGAGATAACACCCTTTAAGTGCTCAGCCTCACTCCCCATCTATTAAAAGATTTTTTCACTTTGGCCCTTGAGAAGATGAGCGATTTATTCTAAGTCGTGTAATATGTCTAAGGAATGCCTCCCCTACCACTTTCTTGGGTAATTTCCTCAAAGAACTTACTGCCATCGAATCATAGCTGACTCACAGAAACCTTCAATAAATTTTTGGAGGCTGTAAATCTCTACGTGGAAAGATAGTCTCATCTTTCCCCCCAAGGAGCAGAAGAGCTGACCTTGCCAGCCAGCAGTTCAAGACTTACCCAACATCGCCACCAGTGCGGTTTCATTTCCTCACACGTAGGGGTTTATCGGTTCTCCGTGGAAGAGGGAGAGGTGTACACCTCTGCAGGTTCCCAGGCCTCTGTCTCCATGGAGAGGAGCCCTGGAAGTGAAGCACTGACAGCGTTGGGCTGAGAACCTCAAGGACAGGAGTTGGAAACTACCCATCAGTCTCTCAGAGGGAGAAAGAAGTGGTTTTCTACACCCATAACGAGTGACCGTCTCAGAAACTCTCAGGGGCAGTTCTAGCCTCTCATATACAGTCATTACGAGTTGGAATCAACTCAATGGCAATGAGCTTGTTTTTCTTTCTTCTGTTTTGTATTTTGGTCTCTGTGAAGTTCTCTCTTCTAATACTGTGACCTGTGAATTCTAGCCACCTGGGCTCTCTGAATTCTCAGCTGTGCCTACTGAGTTCAGGGTGACCACCAGGCTTTGTGTGTGATTTTCTCTTGTGGCTTGGAAACTCTCTCTGAACATTAAAAACAAAATCCCTCACTTGCCTTGGAGTCAGTTGCAATTCCTAGAATCCATGTAGGTCAGAATAGAACTGCCCCTGGAGGTTTCGTAGACTAAATTTTTATGGGAGTAGAAAATCTTGTCTTTGTACCACCTCTGAACATTGTTTGTTGTTGTTGTTGTTGTTAGATGCATTGGAGCCAATTCTGAGTCATAGAGACCCTTTGAACAACAGAATCCTCACAACCGCCGTCATAAGCCAACCATTGGTGCAGTTACCGTGTCAATCCATCTTGTCAAGATCCTTCCTCTTTTTGGCTGCCCCTTGACTTTACCAAGCATGTTGTCCTTTTCCAGAGACTGGTCTCTCCTACTCATATGTCCAAAGCATGTGCGAAGAAGTCTCACCATCAGAACTTAAGAATTCCATTAAAAGACAACAAACCAAACTCACTGACACGGAGTCGATGTCGATGCGTAGCGACCCTGTAGGACAGGGTGGAAGTGCCAGGCGAGTTTCCGAGACTGTCACTGTTTATAGGTATAGAAAGGCTCACCTTTCTCCCACAGAGCTGGCTGCTGGTTTTGAATGGCTGCCCTTGGAGATTGCAGCCCAATACATAACCATTATGCCACCAGGGATTATTTCCC